CAGCGGCCGCAGAAACGGATCAAAAGTATCTCTCCCATCAAGCCAGAGGGGGATTTCAAAGCTGAAAGAACGCAATGAGTCACCCCCTGCGACTCYTGCCCCACGGAACCATGCCAGCGGCGTCGAGAACCGTCCACCCAAGGCCCCCGAGAAGAGGTCGCAGGAAGACGGAATGTCAAAGGTGCACCGCAGGACAAAGAAGAGAATCACGTACAAAAATGACAGAATGGTGGAGATGATCGATGTGAGAGCCTCGGACGATATGCACAACGCGGCCCGAGAGGAAGCAGAAGAGGAACACGAACAGTCCATATCAGAAAAGTCTGACGGGGAGGAGAACGAGGCAACAAGTGACGAGGGAGGTGACAGTGAAACTTTCGACGGACATTCTCGCGACACTCACGACGCTGATGACGAGGACGGGAGGAGCAGCGACGGCACAACGCAGGATGAGGGTGGTGACGGGGCAGGCGAAGATGACAGAAGCGCGGACGGAAGAGGGAGTTCCTCATCTCCGGAAAGAATGGGACGCACGAGGGAACTCGAAAGTGGCGGCGAGGGAGGCGCAGCCGACGCACCCTCCATTGACAGACAACTAGTGAGGCACGACAACGCAGTTAAAAAAGGTAAACAAAATGTGCTGCAGTTGCTCCTCTTGCACAACGATTACGTGGTAACGGCGCAAAGTGATGACATTTCCTTAATGCGAGGATGTCGCTGTGATTAACGAACAGTTGAAACGGGCTTTCGAATTTCGCATGTGCGAAAATGGGTGCGAAATGCCGAGTTCTTAATAATATTTTGTGCGTTGTAATGTGTGTCTTCCAGCAGATGGCACGAACTCGCAAAGAAAAGTGTGCGCGAGCAGGGGAGGACAACAACAAGCCAATCACGAAAGCGGCATATTCTCGAAGAAAATGAAGGACATACTGTTCCGGGCGGTCGCAAAAACCTTTGTGTTCTCAGCAGCAAAGGACGCAATTCTGTACCCAACAGAGGATGGATTTTTCACGGCGCCGCAAACAACGGCCAAACCGAGAGGGGAGAACGGGGAGGAAGGACTGCGATCACACGTAGCGGAGTGCGGGATTCGAGCAGTCATAGGGGAGTGCAACAGAATGATGACAATCGGGCGTGGAAAGATAACATGACAAATGAAACATTGGTTCTGGGCTGAAAAAAGGATCCCGCTTGTACGATCGCATCAAACAGATCACCAGCTCCCTACTCGCAACAAGATGCGAGTAGAGATCAAAAAGAACAAAACGTGGAGATGGAGCGACAACGATCCTTGGGGCGCCCCAGCCTTCAAGACGACACTCACCAAGGTTTTCGAGATGAGGAGGGACGGCGTAAACCTTGGCGTGACCCTGCAACAACTGACTTTTGCAGAGATGGCTCTGCAATGTGAAATCGAGCAGACAACAAAGACCAGCAGAGCGACGGAGCAGATAGGAAAATTGGTCTCTATAAAGCAGGACATCGCATCATCTGTCCGCAGTCGCGATACAGTCATGAGTTTTTCGATCTTCAAGCTGGACCGTGCCGTATCTGTTGCTGAGAAGGATGCTGCGCTATTTCAAACTGGCGTGCCCTCTGTCCACAGGAGTGGGCCACACAACACAACAATAACGGATGACGATTTCGACCTGGAGTTCATTGCACCGCTGCATGAGAGAAGCAAAGACGGGGAGAGGGATACAGAAAGTCTGTGCGCCAGGCCTTG